GTGAGTTATATTCTCTTATCTTATCCCTATACTAAATATTTTATTATCGTTGTTTGACCTAATCAAACAACGAAAGATCTACATTATATTTTATTATATTCTATTATCTTTAACTAAACATTATAACTAAAAAGATTGTTATCGCTGTTCAGCCTAACCAAACAATGAAATGTTCTCATTGTATTCTATTATAATTACATACCGTATTATACTTTAAAATCTCTAAATAAACATTGTAATTAAAAATATTATTCTCGTTGTTCGGCCTAAATAAACAACAAATTCTCTTATCAGGATTCGATACTTCGAATCCTCACTATAAATATAAGCAAAGTTGTTAGTTATAAGTTAGTCTTAAGATTCATTTAAACGAACAAAAATCTTATTGGGATCAATTTGTTCGGATCTAATTTTTTAGATGATGAAATGTGCATCATAGAATGTCTTAGAGGGAAATAAAAACCCCCAGCATTATTCAAAATTTGGACAATCAAGTAAAATAAAAATGTGAAATTCTTTGTTCTTTTAGAATTCAATATTCTTTGAAAGGACTTAAATCGCAAGTCTTCAAACTATCTTTATATCTGTTACTACTAACTTACTATAAGTGATACTTCTTACACATTATTAAAAACTTTTTTCGTAAATGAACACAGATGATATTTCAAATTATAACCTTTATTTTATTTTTGCTCCATCCATCAAAATTGAAAAATTATACACAATCTGCAAGATCTTATGTTCGAAACTAGATACTATTAAATTTTATTTCACAAAATCCAAATTTGATATAAATAGTTGTCTACCTCAATCAGATCTAAACAAAGCAACATAAAAAATTTTTAAATTCTTATATCTTAAAAAAAATTATTTAATATTTATTATAAAAACTGTTTGAGTTCTATCAACTTCAAATTCCAAATCAAATTTTTTTTGATACCATTAGAGGCATGTCTAAAAAGTAAGTAAGTTTTCGCGTGAAGGTCAATAACTACGAGGGATATAAATCTATTTATTTTTAGTTGAAACAATGCTTTCTGAAGAACAAATTTTGCCGTCTTCAAGCGTCGTTCAGTCTCCAGAACAGGGTCAAGAAAATGTGGGTAGTATGGAGGCCAAACCGCTAGGTCAGTGTAAAACGGAACTGAAGTCACTTACAGATCAATCTGAAGAGGACTTCATAGATTCTTTAAGTGAACAGGAATACGAAAATAAGGAGGCGTCCAATAAGTTCCAGGTAGATCTAAACCAGCCCATAGACGGAAATGGTGTGGAACAGTTTTTTCAATCAGTTAAACAAGAGCAGAAGAAACAGGGATCAATAAAAGACAGTGTTGAGAAAGTTCATAAAGATGAGAGGGACTATTCATTTGGGAATTCAATTAAATTTTGTGTGATTTTTTGTGTAGCTGCGTTTGTTTCGCGGGTGTTGGTTACTTGGATGCATTATGTTGACGTTTCAAGTAACTATAACGGTAATAATAGTACATGCTCTGTCAATTTCGAAAATAATTGATTTTAGACATTGTTTTAATTAGTAGTGCTAAATGAAAATTTAAATAAATACTGAACTGATAGAAACCTACTTACTTTTAAATGTTTAAATATACGGTATATGTATATACGGTATACAATTTTGTTGATCTTTGATTTGTGCTTTGATTAGAGAAAATAATTTATGTTTTGGATCCATGAAAGTTTAACTTATTTTGATGACTTTGTATTCAGCAAAAGAGATGGTCGCCTTATAAAAGATTTTCCAATAGCTATTCTGTCATACCTGAAATAAAAAATAAATGTAATATAAATTACCAGGTTTTCCCAATGTTGATCCCAACGATTCAACTAAAACAATAAAGTAGATGTACCGCTGTTTAGTATAGCAAATAGTGAAGAATAGTGAACTATATTCACTACAGTAAGTAGCCTATAGTAAGTAAATTTGGTATGTTATCAAGAGATCGTAAATGGGTTTCTCGACATTTGTCACATATTCATCATTTCTCAATTATCTTTAATTATATGTAAACCTATATAACTGCTGTTTGCTAGAAATTATGAATTCTATAGGTCCATAACATTGAGCTAAGCTTCCGAAACTGCACTTAGATGCTTTCAGTCATACCAATTCCACTTATAAGAATCGTATAAGCGCTTTGATACCTATTTTCGGCAATCCTACATACCAATCTTCATATCGAAACCTTAGCAACTTACTAAAGTAAAGAGATATTGAACCTTTTGATATCATCGATTCTCAACTGAGCACTACAATTTCCTTACTAATGAGAGTAAAGTCTATTAATATCGATAGATAAGCGGATTTTAAATGAATAAATGCATTTTAAATGAATAAAAATATTACCGCTTGTTATGATTTTATGTACGACGCTTACTAACAGTTTATAAACCGTTGTATCATCACTCAGTTGTGTGTGTGGACTCGGCATATAAATTCATAACAAGCGGTAAGATTTTTATTCTATTATGAGGTATGGAAGAATACCTCCTACTCAAAAAGTATCCGGATTTTGTTGTTTATTAACTATTCCTTAAGTAATAGACCCCTTTTTCAAAAAATTTTCTTTTGTTATATTGGTACATCCTTTCTTGATATATGGTGCAAATTTAAACGCGATCTGTCAATTAGTTTCTTTACAGCAGCTGTTAATATGAGACTACCTCGAGTGCATTTAGCGATTTTTACTATGGAAAATTCTTGTTGTACGCGATTTTTTGACCAAACACGGCACCACTGTCATCGCTCAGGCACCATATTCGCCAGATCCGGATCAAATTGCCCCTTCGTGGTAAGCGTTTTGAGTCGATTGCATCGGTAAAAGAGAATTCGTTGAAGAAACTAAACGCCATACCCTCACGGGCCTATGAAAAGTGTATGGAAGATTGGGTTAAGCGTTAGCATATGTGTATCGCTTCAGAAGGAGCATATTTTGAAGGAGATAAAATAAATTTGGAATAAAATTTAAATTTGTGTTTTATTTACAAAATCCGAGTACTTTTTGAGCAGAAGATATACCTCTAAAGGATTGTCAGAACCACATCTACTGCATTCTATATTAATGAGAGATAGTTAATGTTTTCAACGTCAGTATACTTATTCCCGAATCATGCCATCCCATTAGAGTTAAGAATATTTTCTTAAATTTACTTAAATTCTCACCTGCACTATATTCCCACTATTGCTATCATTTTTTTAATATAAATTTTTAAACTAAACTATATTTTACAACTTCTCCGAGTAATGAGCATTCATTAGACGCCATTGTACACAAAACAAACTACACCATAATTTCGTCTGTGAATAAACCAAAAATAACATAATTTAAGGATAAAGATAGAAACCTTGTTCGTGGAATATTTACACAAATTGCGTAAATTTATGGCCACTTACTTCTACTCATACACGCATACACACATCACACATCACACACACTTAACCCAAATACCTTTGCAAACAAACTAACAGACACTACCATTTAGATGTATATTTAGAGGTGTGTTTTGGTTGAATGCATTTGCGTCGAAATACAAACGTCTGAAAGTGAGTATGTATTAGTATAAGTGTGCTCAGATAATACGTGCATTTAATAAATAAGCGGCATGCCTTGATCCTACGAAAGGACTAACAAAAACTTCATCTGCATTGAATTGCATTTGTATGTGTGTGTTTGTGATTTTGTGGTACATCAGATATGCTAGGCCGCGTATGTGGTTAGTCGAGTATACAACACACATTCCCAAGGAAGAAAGTCCAACTAATAAATGCATTACCTACTGGTAGTCAGTGTGAAGCCTAATATTGTGGCTTCTAAAGAAACCGGCATAGAAGAAGAAGAAAAAGAAGCCCGTAATCACAAGCAGTTGAAGAACAACATAAACCACAAAGCCAGACACCTTAGAATTTTGACATAGAAATGCAATAAACTCTAGAATTATGTGGACACTAAATATACACACAGAAGTACAAGCTAATTTGAATGCACTTTTCTGTGGTTACTCATATGTGTAGAATTATTATTACGGAACGCGAGTATCTCAACTAATTGAAATGCTAAGAAAGTACTAAGAAGAAATGAAATCTACTCTCTTGTTTGTATTTAAAACTTAATTTTTTTTTAATTCATGTTTAAATCCAATATAAATGTTAAGAGAACTCTAAAAAATTCTACTCCTTCTTTGCTCGACGAAAAATAAATTAGTGTTTGAAGCACTTTAACTCAATGGTGTCTCATAGATCACTATAGATAAAAATAGATATTTATTTTTTTGATGGAATATATATTTTTATTCGTATTGAAAAGATTGTTATTCATTGATAATACATATTTAACAATTTTATATATACAAACTCATTAAAAATAAATCTTCTACACAGGGTTCTTCTAGTGTTCTGAACCTGACATTTGCAGTCCAACAAATTATATACAGAATATAAACTAATTAAATAAAAATTAGAATATTTCCTAAGACCATTGATGATGCGTACTTAGCAAGACTCGTAAAAGTGTTACAATTACAATTTTTGTTGTTGTCTTTTCAGTTTTATTCGAACCCTTTTAACGGAACTATGTACAGATATATACAAAAAAAAACTCAAAAAAATGTTGTAAATAAAACAAAATTGTGTTTATTAAAAATAAAGTGTCAAAAAAGGTATATAAACTGCAACTTTAAGATTTGAAATTAATTACTAGAGACTCAAACTTATCTAGATATAAAAAGTTACAAGCAAAAAGAAATTTCACTAAACTCGAATTTTATTTAACCTGATGAAAGTCCTTTCGTTCGTTCTTCAGACCAATAAAATTCTTTGTGAAAAAAAGATATAGCTTTTTGCAAAAATGTTTGTTGAATTACATTTTTTGAATTTTTTCTCCAAATTAGGTTGGTACAATAATATTGAAATTATCGAAATAAATAAGTTAAACTAAATAATTCTTATCATATTAAAATAAAAGGTTTTCGAGTGGTTTAAAAGTTTAGAAATTGTGTTAAAGAGTATTAAAAATTTGTATTAAAATAAATCTTTAGTAAAATTTTCTTTAAATTTTCTCTTCATTGTTAGTTGAACTATTTTCATTTAGTTCCTCTGCATTAACAACTTGAACTTCATCGAGTTCCGGATTTGCATTAACAACTTGAACTTCATCGAGTTCCCCATCGGCATTAACATCAGTAATCAATTCTACTTCGAGCACTGCATTTGCATTAACAACTTGAACTTCATCGAGTTCTTCATTTGCATTAACAACTTGAACTTCATCGAGTTCCCCATTGGTATTAACATCAGTAATCAATTCTACTTCGAGCACTGCACTATTTGTGGTCTCATTGTTTAAGTGTAAATTTTCGTTTTCAATTGATCGAAAATCTTGAGTTGTCTGCTCAATATTCGTGGTATTACCAGCCACATGCATAGTTTCACTAAAAATGTTAGTGCCATTGGTAATATTATTGTCATTATGGTTGCTAACATTATCACCGGTGAAATTAATCTGTAACTGCTGCTGAACATTATTTAATTGTGCTGTTGATAGTGATCCACTCTGGCTCGTTTCTAATGCATCTCGAACAATCTCATCAAGCACTAAAGTTTTTGTCTCATTTTTAATATTAATCCAGGTATCACCAACCTTTTTGAAAGTTTTAGTTAAAATATTAACTTTCTGGAGCTGTTTTAAAGATGAACAGTTAACAGTTAAATCAATCTGTGGCTGTTGATTATAATTAAATTGTGCCGTTGAAAGTGATCTTCCGTGACTGGTTCCTTGAGCAGCTAAATCTTGGGCAATCTGTAGCTCATCTAAAATACCATTCATAGTTTCTCTACCTACTTGCACATTTTCAACCAAATTATTCAGATCTTGGAGCTGATTAGAAGATGACGAATCATTGTTTATACTCAAATCAGTGTCTGTTTCCTGCTGAACATTTTGAAATTGTGCTGTTGAGTATGATCTTCCATGACCTGGTGTATGTGTAGTTACATCTACAGCTCTGCGTCTTGGCATCCTAATATTTGTGTCATCTTCATCACTATCACTACTTATTATGTCATACCAGACACGACGTAATTCTCTGACCGCTCGTTCTACACAAATATGACTATTCCTTACTCTTGCATTTACGTGTGTTAAGTTAGTTGTTGGGCTTACCTATAGAAATACATTAAAAATTATTTATCTTATATTAAAACAATAAATATTCACCGAGTGTCGGTTCGATCCTCCAGCAGCAGATTGTTGAGGCTTATCCTAAGAAAAATCGAAAGTTTGTTTTATTATTAACATAATTTTAAAATTTTTAAGTACCTCTAATGTGGATCTGCAGAGTGGACACTTTGGGCCATACAAGTAGAACTTCGAATGCATTGTTAGTTTTGTAATGCATACATGGCAAAACGAGTGTTTGCATCGTAGCGTCTTTGGATTTGTTTTTATTTCCAAACATATCATACAGATATCTTCATTGTTATCTCCCATTTTGAGAAAAACCTTTTAAACACTTTTCGAGTATTTGGAAAAATTACCAGAAGAATATCTATGGAGTAGAATGTACTTCATTACTTTAGTAAATAAAATCAGTATTAATAAATAGAGACGAGAGGAGTAAATATATTTTGTTTGTTAATAAAATTTTCTATAAATTTTTCATAAACATATATCTTATATAATAATGTAATATTATCGTTTTAGTTAGTATTTGACTAATAATTTCTTGAAATATTTTTTATATATTCTATTGTATATATAGGCTTCTAGTCATTCAACTAATTTCTGCTTAGCTCATTTATATAATTAAATAATGGGCTAAAAACAAAAATCATAGCCTGTTATTTAATTATATAAATAGGCCAAGGGAAATTTGTTGACTGAACTTGAAATGTATGAAGTGTAGAATGAAATTCAAATTATAATTCAATTGTAATTGATAACTTTATCTTAAAATTACAATTACCCCTAATGGAATTAATAACGTAATTATTAGTCTTAAAAATTTAAAAATTACCTGTAATCGCTAATTGGTTGTAATTCAATTACTCCTTGAATATATTTAGATACCTAAATTACAAATATTTGTACTGAGTAATCGAATAATTATAATCAATTATAATTAAATTGTAATTACTTACCTTTAAATAACAATTACCCTGGAATTGTAATGGAATTAAAAATGTAATTGAATCTGAAATCTGCAGCTACTTTCTGTTTGGGCGTCTAATTCATGCCTTTATTCATGAATTAGTTGTTTCGTGTATTAAAAATAATCAATGTATTTTTAATATTTTTCTATTTAAAAATGTTTTTAGTAATTTCTGTGATTAATTGTTTATTAGCAAATGAAGTAATAAATTGAAGCTTTTAAATTTCCAACAAACTAGAAGTCAAAGAAATATGCTGACATAAACTTAACACCGGCAACGCGAAAAGCAGCACTAAATTTATTAAAAACCAATAAACAAATATTTATGTTTTTCTGATGTTATATCTTTTTTAATTAGATCAATGTTTCAAAATATCACTTTCCTATTACTATTAAAGAACTGTTGACGTCAAAATTTTTCCAAATATATGTAAATCCCGCACAAACTACAAAAAGAAACCACTGTCGCCAAATCTTCAACTGCGTCGGTAAAGATAACGGAATATACTCCTTCGTGTGCGTATTATTGCAGTAAGCTGTGTATATCATGTGGATGCGTAAATGTCAGCGAAGTGTACAAGTGGTTGTGACTGACGGACAACCAAAAACTCAATTTCTAAAATTCCAAACAAGCAATAGAGAATAAATATATATGTATCTTTCAAAAAAAGCGGTATATGGCAGTTGCATGAGTATAAAAGGTGTATTTATACCAACAAGGAGGAAATTCGAAGATGAAAATGTGCGAAATTAGAATTTCTTTAATAAGAACAATTGCAAACAATTAAGTATACTCAGTAGAGAAATCAGACATAAATTTAAACCTTCAAACGTCCACAATATATGCACAACGGCCAAAAAAAACTAAAGAAAGAAACTGAGAGGACATTTTGAACCACTGTACCTCTTTTGTGTAATATCACAAAAAAAAAAACTAAAGGATTTTTAACGTCAAAAAATCAAAACAAATACTAAATTTTTCAGAAAATGCTCTTACTTTAGTAAACATCGTGGTGAGTAGGGACAGGGTGGGCAAAATAGCAAGACCGCCTCATTACTCAAAATTCAGAAAGCCATTACTGAAATATCCAGAAAATTTCATACTAATATATACTAATTTTTTTTATACTAAATTTTATAATATTTATATATAATTTTTTGAGTAACTCCCAATTTCTTTTCTTTATCTTCTTTGCATCGGCTATTACCGTGACGAACTGTGACACTATTAATTAGTGTTTTTGGACCTTGATATTAGGCTTAACATAAATAACTGAAAGGAACAAGTTTTGGAAGGTGTCCCACAGCGGTGAGCAATTGAACGCTTCGAATAGAAAAAGGGGATGTTAAAAGATATTTTGGATCGTCATATACATCACACCTCAACCAGCTATATATGTGAAAGATAATATTTCACATATAATAGCTACCGTATAGTGGTCTCAATGGTTATCAAATGCATAGCTCTTCGACTTCTTGTTGCTCAACAGATCTGTACTTTGTACTATTCGTTTGTCGAAGGATTGAACGTTTATGCCAAAGACGGGTATATCGAGTATATATTATATATTCGTTTTCTATTCGTTTAATATATAACATACATATAATTGTAAGTAAAAATACTATGTTCTTAAAGAGGTGGTTCAATACGGTCAGTCTACAGTATGGTTTGGGTTAATCAATAATGCAATTTAATTCCTTTTTAGGTGCTTAATGAAAATTATGATTTAATATATCATTATTGTGTACATATTATATATGTATACTAGCTGACCCGGCGAACGTTGTTTCCCCTTGCAATTAATTTTCCTGGCGTTCGTTGCGTTGCTCTTGACTTTCATTAGCACGTGTAATTGTATCCTGATTTCTTACATCTTCATTGTTTTCTGCCGATCTATTTAACCGACGGTTCTGGAGTAATTGTGAATTCCGAGTCCGTCGACCAATATTTCCTCCTCGTCCACGAAGACGTGTCATTGTTTTTTGTACGATATTTATATCTTTATATATATAATTCTTCTTTTTTGTGTGTTGAATATTTGAATTCGCTGGATTTACCAGGAATACCACCACATAACTTAAGATTAAAAATTGGCTCACCTATAATTATGCTGCGGAATTTAAATGCACTTAAGCTATGCAACGTCAGTTTTACAATTCATTTTAGAGATTTTAAGGTTTTTAAACAAATCAAAGTAAGCATGAATAAATTTTAAATTATAAATATAAATGTATATGGATACCAAAAAATAAAAAATTGATTAAAAAGACATTATCTAGTGGGCCAAATTGTGAATCCAAACCTTCCTTGAATCCACTTGAACACACATAAAAAATTTCATCAAAATCGGTTCAGCCGTTTAGGAGGAGTTCACTGTCAACACACGTACAGAAGAATTATATATATAAGATATTTAAAGCTATTAAGAACATATTGGTACTATTTTAAATAAATAATAAATAAGAATAAAATTACTCTTATGTTATGTAGATATTTAAATTTTTGACCAATATTACAAATTAAGGGAAAATAATTATCATTTGAACGGACTTATTATAAACTTACAGAAACTTTTGTTTAATGGAAATAATAATGAAGTATCAAAGTACTGACATACATATTACAAAACAGCTGTAAAATTTAAATATATACTCGTACTTACGTATTAAGACAAGTGAAGATACGAAAACGAGTGCAGACGAGTTCCAATGATTTTTATATGAGTTCCAAATACGTTCCAAATTCAAGTGAATACATTGAACATACCCTAAATAAATGTTCTTCATGACATTTGGACAGTTTGAGAGAGCTGTTTTTGACATGTTTATAAAGCAAGGTAAACAAATATTTGGTGGTTGCATTTCCTTGAAAACGATGCACCTCTTTTTGGAACTACTACTTCCCAACAATAAATTAAACGAAGCTAAAAATAAGTTTTCAGTTGATATTAAAAGGTGTAAAGGTATATTTTACCTTCAACCAATTTGTTTGGCATAGACCAAAAATCAATCAACAGCCACATTGACAAATCAGCTGTTTGAAATGATAACAAATGAATAACAACGAATGTAAACACTTTCAAATAACTAATTTGAAATGAGTCATTTGCGGCCAGTGTCAATGCCATAAAAGAATCGTGGATTATAGTCGTGGATCTACGACTATAAAATAGAGTTATATAGTATATAGGGATCTATATAACAAATAGAAAAAAGGATATTGTATAATGGCAATTATATAAAACGTGTTGTCGAGTAACAAATAATTTTGACAGAGTGCCTAAATATAATTACAACAACAAGAGTAGTGAGTTAACTATTGGCACAAAAAGATCCAATCCAGCAAGCAAAACGATCAAATTTTTTCAAGAGTTATACTATGAGGTAATTTAAAATTTTTGTTAAAGATATTAAGATAGATATTATTATACGGTAAGATAGTTCAACAGCAGAGCCAAATTATCAAATGCTACTTATAACGTCTTTATAGTTCTAGAATACAGATCACAATCTCCATACAATGTGTATATATAAAATGCATATATATATTCACGATCAGTTCGGTTCAGATGAAATCTTTGACAAAGCCAAATCTCACCCTCCTTCTGTTTTTGCTAAGTTACTAACACTTCGTTAGGTCATATTCCACGATTTGAACGTAATTTGTTATTCAGTCTGTTTTGATTGTCGATTTTTGCAAATATAATTTTCACTGCTGAACAATTTCAGAAAGCTATAGAGTTTTGTAGTAGTAGTTGTTGGTATAATAGAGTTTTTAAGAAAAAAAACCTAATTAATGTGATCAACTTAGCATAGTACTTACCTGACATGACCGTATTTGACTTTAGCATCTACTCCCGTAATAAAAACTAACACCAGGGAAAAGGTCTTTCCTGGTGTTAGTGGATTGTAGCTGTAAATAAAAATTCGCTGTAGAAGTTGAATGGTATAGCTATTTCAATCTATGAAATATGTGTTGGAGATTGATTGAGACTATAGTATCAAAAATGTAATTATCCGTTACTTTGTATTCGTTACTCAAGAAATACCGGAGTAACGAATACAAACTTTTTATTGTATTCTTTACTTTAACTCATTTCACTAACGAGTAGTATTTCCTATAACTACTCTTTCGAGTACTTGGTAACGATTACTTTTAAGCAATGATTACCGCGGTAGAAATATAACTACTTTATTTTCAACAAAATATTTGTTCGCTATCAAATTCATTAAAAA